CTCTCTCTCTCCCCTCATCCTCTCAACTCGCCTCTTCCCTCTCTCCCCCTCGCTTTCCGCAGTCGCTCATCAGGGCTACTAAGTCCACCTCTATTCTGGCATCGTCCTGGCTTGACATCCTCTTCCTCGCATCAGTTTCTTGTACATGGTCATACTGGCTGCTACTTCTTCATTCGGTGCTTTTCCAATCTGAGCGTATTCGACTCTTCACAATTGTGTCCCCGCTGCAGCATGGGCAGCACTTCAGGATCGGTGCATCGCTTCCGTCGTTCAGAATGGCGCTCTCGCCATTGCGCGGGCCTCGCTTCTGGATCAGGTTTCGTTTGGATCCCATGTCCTTGTCAATCTAATCCCCCTCCGTTATCATCCTCCCCTTCCTCCCTTTTCCTCCTCATTCCAGTTCCCCCCCATGCAATCTTCAAAAGACTATAAGGCAAGCCATCCGGCGAATAGAACAGGCTTCAACGCAATGAAAGGACGTTGGGATGGGTACGATGTCAGATGCGGCACGGGCGCGCCCAGCGTTCATCTCTCCTCTGTGTTCCCTCTTACCTTCCTCCGTCCCTCTTATAATCATCCCCATCCTCGCCCCCCGATTGTATACCTCCTTCAGCTCCTCCCACGCCTCTCTTGCGCAACCCAGGCTCATTCTACCCAACCTCCTTTTCCCATCCCTCGTTCTCCCCCCTCCTCCCTCTCCCTACGTTTTGCCCCTGTCCCTCCTACCCTCCTACCCCCCCCCCTCTCTCATCCTCCCCTCCAGCTCCTCTCCTGTACCATTCTACCCCCCTCCCTCATCCATCCTTCTTCCTTGTGAATGCCCCCTCGTCGATGCAGCCGCCGTGTCAAGCCGCACAGAAGGCCTCTCATCACTTTCTCTAAACGTTCTTCCGAGAGGAGTGCTTGGATCGGAAATAATACGCGTGATTGTTTCTCGTGGACTTCGAAGGCGCGTTCTGCACGTCTGAGCACGATGCGTCGATGTGCCTTCGAGGAGCCACCTATAGTACCAAAGCATCGCGTTGATCTGCATCACCAACACGCATGCGTGCTTTTCAATAGGTTCGGGGAACATTGGTTGCTCAGCAATCGGCGCGCTGGGCAGGTCCATGGGTTCGTCATTGATGGACCACGCGAGTAATTCGCGAATCTGCGTTTCGCTAGCGATGCTGAACAATGAAACTTCGAACGTGACTCGGCAGCGCATCTAGAGAAAACAACAGTCTCCTCGCACTCACTGCGAAATGGCAGCAGAGAGTCGCTGGAGAGGGTGATGTTGTCATCTTGCCGCCGGACTCCACTGAGAAGCAGTTGAGCAGTCATGTTTCTGCGTATGATGCTCGGGACGCTGGGTTAATCAAGAAAAAAAGTAGCTTGGCTTGATTTTGCGAAGTACAGAAACGCTAGGTGTTCGAAGAAATGACCCGCCCAGGCGCTCCGAGTGATGAAGCGCGGGTGGTTTTCAAAGTGTGATTCTCTCCTATGGGCCGCACGCATTCGGTTTAAAAGCTTCTGATGGCTTCACGACCAAAGAGCGTCTTTTCAGTTTGGGGTCTTGGTTTGGTGCGCCACAACAGTTTGTTGCCAGAAGTTGAACATGGCGAATCGTTTACACAAATTCTGCATGGGTCTTCTTTTTTAAAGTGTTCGCTTGGTACTCCTTCATAATGCAAAACAGTACTTGGCAATTTTGTCACAACTCCGCGGATGGAAGGTGCTTCCTTTTCCAGACTGAGGTCTCGCTGGAACGGTCTGCTGTGGACGTTGGTGGTATTGTATGTGCCTTCCCTTATAGGTTGCAAGATGGAGGGCGCTTCCTTTTTCGAAATGGGGCTGTCGCGCGGGATTTACGTCTACAAAATGGGGCTTCCCGCAGCGGCCAAGAATCATGCTTGGGATCTCCGCCACACACACACATATATACAGAGGCACCCTCAAATGGAGTGTTCCTGTGCCTCAGGGGAGGGTGGCGGTGTATAAGTGACCACTGCGAGCTAGCGGCGTTCTACACCGGCGCCCTCCCTGAAGGTACTTGCAAAGTTCGTCGCAGGGTGCCTGTCTATCTACCGTTGTGGCCTACAATCAACCCGTGTAGTAAGGATGGGCAACTTTCTCAAGAGTACCCTTACATTCTTATCTCCTCGGTAAATCCTCGGCCACTTTCGCTTGCCGCGCCCCGCTCGAAAAGCTTCGACGTGGGCGCCCAAGGCCCTTGCGTCCTTATACGGACCGACTGTAGACTTCATGGTGGCGGGGCCAGTGCGGGCAGGCGGGGCAAGGGGGAGAGGGTGTCCCGAGGCAGCCATTGGCCCAGTGCTCCGCCACCGTCGCCGTCTTCGCCGCCGCCGCTAGTGCCTTCGACCTGGCCGCCGCCACCGCCGTCATCGTCGTCGCAGGGGGGGCAACGAGGAGGACCACCTCGCGTCAAGACACGCGGCTGGGTCTTTCGGCAGGTTTCCCAGGGGACCTCGCAAGGGCCCCAGCACGATCCGAAGCGACTCGGGCTGAAAAGTGGCTCCTGCAACGAGGACATAACGACACCGGAGATCTGGTGAGGGGGAAGGGGGGAGCAGGAGGAGTAGGGGAGCGGGGGATGGAGTAATCCAGCGCCGAAGTCCGCTCGCAGAACTCAGGCCTAACATTGGCGCGGGTCCAGGCTTGTGCTACTCCAAGGAGTTCGGCCCCCCCGCGCGCAAAGCTCGTGGGGGCCCAGGTGGTCCCCCAGACCTCATGACCCCATCCAAGGCACGAGCTCTTCTTCCCCAGCCAGGGGGCTCCAAGGGCACCAAGCCTGGAGCAAAACGGACCGCGAAACCGACACCTACGGGGTGCGACAGGGAGGAGCTGCCTATAGAAGGAAGCTGGACGACGGAGGACTTTCGGGGGCAGGCAGTGCCCTGCCCAAGAGGGCGGTGCCCCCTCTGGCAGCACGTCCCGCTGCCGCTGTCCTGCTGCACCCTGCGCCGCTCCTTCGCTCCACTCTCGCTCTTTCCACGCCCGCCCTCTGCGAGTAGCCTTAGGTCGGGCCTGTCCCTCTACAGGGGGAATATTCAAAATAGTCACAGTCAAAAAAGTATTAGGGGGACGATTGTTTTGACTATTTTTGAATATTTTTGGCTTTTTTAAAACTAATTTTAATTTTTCGCCCAGAATCCCCCTGTAGGGGGACAGGCCCGACCTGAGAGTAGCCAGCCCGTGGGCTGCGCGCGCCCCGGGGTAGCAGGACCGCTTGCCGGCGCGTGGGCAGCCTCTGCTCCTCCTCTGGAACCTGCGCTGCGCTGGGGGGCAACGACGCAGACTTCGCCTCCATGGCTGCGCGCCGCATCGCGCAGCTGCCAAAGGTGCCCGGCGCAGTCGGCACCTTGCTGAGGCGCCGGCGGCCGCGTCGTATCGCTCTCTGCCCGCGAGTCAAAAAGAACCAGGGCCCGCCCAGCCCAGAGCTGCAGGGAAGGCATCGATCGAGGACGGTCCCGAGGGCCTCCCCGGGGCTCGGCACGGCTCTCGGCCCCACCCGCGGCAAGCAGCCACCGCGGGGTTTTGCGCCAAAGCATCTCTGCGCCGAAACCGCGGGCGATCGAGCGAGGAGGAGGAGGAAGAGGAGGAGGAGGAGGCCGAAATCACAAAGTACAATATGTGCTTTACTCAGAGAGTTACCTGTCCCGCTTTCGTTCCCAGGCGAAACCAAGACATGCCACGCGCTTTTTCGTGAAGCAGCCTGACCGTTGCAGGCCACCCCACGGATCGCTTGATATCCGTCGTTTCCCGATGGGAAGCGAAGGTGGTCAAGAGCAAGGCAGGCTCATGCGCGTTTTATTTGTGATGCAGCGGGACGCCAGCCGCCCCTGGGCCCAGGTTCAGGTCGCCCGGCTCCCCATCGCCCAGACGTTCTCGAAGGTGGACGAGTTCGAGAAGCTGGCCACACAGGCGCCGGGGTCTGGGTTTCCTCCGCGGGAGCGGGGGCCGGCCGTGCTGGTCACGGGCATACCCCATCCTTGTTACGCCCCTCGTGATCCTCCTCCTCCTCCTCCGCCGCCTTCTCCTCCCTTTCCCCTCCCCCTCCTCCTCCTCCTCCTCCACCTCCTCCTCCTCCTCCTCCTCCTCCTCCTCCTCCTCCTCCTCCTCCCCCTCCTCCTCCTCTTTCCCTCCTTCCTACGATCCGCTCCTCCTCCCTCCTCCTCCTTCTCCACCTCCTCTCCTCCTTTCTCTCCTCCTCCTCTTCCTCCTCCTCCTCCTCTTCCTCCTACTCCTCCTCCTCCTCTTCTCTTCCCTGACCTGGACCACCTCCTCCCCCTCCCTCAGTGGGTTTCGCACCTCTCCTCCCTCCTCCTCCTCCTCCTCCTCCTCCTCCCCTCCTCCTCCTCCACCTCTTCCTCCTCACTCCGCCTCCTCTCCTCTTTTTCTCTGACCTGGACCTCCTCCTCCCCTCCTCAGTGGGTTTCGCATCTCCTCCATTTCCTCTCCTCCTCTCCTCTTCCTCTCCTCCTTCTCCTCCTCTTACTTCTCCTCGTCCCCCCTCCTCCTTATTCCTCCTGCTCCGCACCCGCTCCCCCCGCCCTCTTCTCCTCTTCCTCTTACTCCTCCTCCTCCTCCTCCTCGTCCTCCTCTTCCTCCTCCTCCTGAACCTCCTCCTTCTCCTCCTCCTCCTCCTCCTCTTCCTCCTCCTCCTCCTCCTTCTCCTACTCCTCCCCATTTCTCTTACTTCTCCTCGTCCTCCCCCTCCCCTTCCTCTTCCCCCTCCTCCTCCGCAACTGTTCCCCCTCGTCCCTCTCCTCCTTCCCCTCCTCCTCCTCTTCCTCTTCCTCTTCCTCCTCCTCCGTCCCCCTCTCCGCCCCCGATCCTCCGCGTCCTCCCGAAGCAGGAGGAGGAGGACGGGGAATGGTGATGATGATGCTGCTGCTGATGATGTTGTTGTTGTTGGCGATGATGGTCATTATCATGATTAGTATGCCGATGATGGTGATGCTGATGATGTTGCTGCTGATGATGCTGATGACGATGATGCTGATTATGCTGATGATGATGATGATGATGATGATGATGATGATGATGATGATGATGATGATGACAGCAATGCCGATACCGATGTGAATGATGATGTTGGTGGTCGTAATGATGCTGATGATGATGTTGCTGTCGATGCCGATAGTGATGATGATGATTCTAGTTATGACGATTATGATGATGGTGACAATGATGCTGTTGAAAGCTGATAATGCTGCTGCTGATGATGATGTTGATGATGCTGGTGATGTTGATGCTGGTGATGAGGACGATGATGCTGATGACGAGGATGTTGCTGATGAGGACGATGATCGTGATGCTGCTGCTGATGATGGTGGTGGTGATGAAGATGATTATGCTGGCGATCCTGATGATGATGCTAATGGTGATGATGAGGATGATGACGATGAGGATGATGATGATGCTGATGATGATGACGATGATGATGATGGTGATGATGCTGACGGTAAAGGTGATGGTGATGGAGATTGGTGATGGTGATGTTGATGGTGATGGTTGTGGTGGTGATGATGATCATGATGATGCTGCTGCTGATGCTGATGCTGATGCTGCTGCTGATGATGATGATGATGATGATGAGGAGGAGGATGATCATGATGATTAGGAGGAGGAGGTGAAAACGGGGCCAGGAGGAAGGCAGACAGGGAAGAAGGGAGGAGGAGCAGGAGGAGGAGGAGGAGGACACGGCGGAGGAGGCGGCAGTCGACGAGGTCTGGCTCTCGATCGCGGTGCTCGCCGCTGGCTCAGCAGGCTTGTTGGGAAGCGGCTTGTGCGTACTGTGTTTGTTCCGGTCCTACTCTTGTCTTTGTGCCCCGATCTCGGAAGCTGCTCGGAAGTGAATCCTGACTAGGATGTCCACGCATCTGGGAAAAACACAACAGGTTCCTTTCGCCGTCTCGGACTTAAAAAGACCCTCCCAGATCGACCAGGCGCGGATAATTCACCGTAGATGTAGGGTCGATAGCCCTGGTGGCGATGTCTTATGACTTCTGGGCTCGGAGCTGACCTCGGGAGCTGCTCCTTGGGAGTGGATCGTGATGGCGGCCTGGAAGCGATGGTTGGATGTGGTGGTCCCATCCCCACTCATCCTTCTGAGTGCTCTCCTCATTTGCCCCGTCGTCCTCACAACTTCGACGATGCTGCTGCTTGAACTTCTTCTCCTCCCCTTTTCCCTCCTCCCTCCGTCTCCCCAACCACCCCCCCGCCCTATGTCTCCTTTTCCTCCTTATCCTCTCTTCCAGGCTCTCCTCATTATTTTCTGTCCTTCTTTCCTCACCCCCTCCCTCCCTCTCATGTCATCTATCATTATCCTTTTTTCCTTATTTCCTCACCCCCCCATCCCTTCTCCCTTTATCAGCCTGTCCCCGTTGCCCGCAGCACCGTGGCCGAAGCTGGTTCCCGTTGCCCCGCTCCCGCTCATCCCCTGCAAGCCCCGGTCGTCCTGAAGGAGGAGAGCGAGGAGGAGGATGCCGACTTTCAGCAGAAAGAGCACGGGCTCTAAGCAAAGGGGCCTTCAATAGCACGTCATGGGAGCCGTGTACACCCATTGCACTTCCGTCTTTGGAGTGCGTCCACGTCGTAATCAGCGTCTGGTAGTCGATGAGATAGCGCTGATTTAGCATCGACTAGCGTCGGTTAGCGTCTGTTTAGCGTCGATCAGCGTCGAACGGCGTCGGTTCGCAAGAGCCAACACGATGGTAATTACGGCAGGTTTGTGCGGCGTTGGCGCGTTGGTGACGCCGGCGAGGGCGTTCAAGGCTGAGTTTTGCGACGCAGAAGCACCGATAGACATTCTAACACCACGGGACCTGGCTGAATTCAAGCTTGAACGATCAGGGCCGCGATCGGTTCAAGGTTGAACGATCGACGCGGTGTCGAAAACCTGTGCGCTTCGACGCCGCGCGAACCTACAGTATGGGAGGCCCCCATGAGTTGCCACAGCAAGGGTTCCTGGAGGGTTTTCTCCTTTTCCGGGCCCTTGGGGCCCGGGCCCCCCTTGATCGTCAACAAACCTGCGCACGTACACTACTCCTCCTCCTTGTCCTCCTCCTCCTCCTCCTCCTCCTCCTTCCCCTCCTCCTCCTCCTCCTCCTCCTCCTCCTCCTCCTCCTCTTCCTCCCCCTTCCCCTCAAACTGTCAGGAATCGTTTATTAACATGTCGCCTCGCCGTTTCTGGCTCACCGCGCTTCGGGGCGACAAGTTGAAGACGTCGCAGTCCCCGAGGGTCCGCGTCCCAAGCGTTCCCTAGCTTCCCGTCCCGCGGAGCGGAGCGACACGCCGTCCGCTTGCAAGGCATAGCGTGTCGCAGGGGCCGCCGCCGTCGACACGCTAAGCAAAAGTTCCTGACCGTAGCACGAAGGAGGAGGAGGAGGAGGAGGAGGAGGAGGAGGTGAGGGATAACGAGGAGGGGGATGATGAGAGGGGGGGAGGGAGGAGGAGGAGGAGGAGGAGGAGGCGGAGGAGGAGGAGGAGGAGGAG